TTTTGAGCCATCAACATTTTGAAAATCTTTCTAATTTTATGGTTGAGTCTAATTTTCTGCTTTGTCCGGAAGTGTATACCACGTCTTTTATCTGCTTCAGTTCTTAGAGACAATCAACACAAATAACTCAACCCGACAATCAATCAGAGATCAAAGTTATTCATCCCTACAGCTTAACCATCATCTAATCAAGGCCAATCAAGTCTAAGCCGCCCCTACACTTTGTCCATCTGGCGTCATAGCCAATGTCTGTAATCACGGCAAGTATCAGTCATGTCATCACACTGTACATCAACCTGTTCAGTTGTATAAACTCAAATATCCTTCATGTATATATTATACTTGTCCATAACGTGCATTATTTGCTTGATGACGGTGCTGCATCTACACGGAAACGTCGCATCTACTGCAATATAGAAGTTGTCAGTTCATAAAAATGTTCCACTTCATCATACCAGCCTCTATATGCCACTTACGTTATGTTAACGGTACGTTACTGATACGACCGCCTCCGTGGTGTAGTGGTTAGAGCGTCCGCCCGGAGAGCGGAAGGTCGCGGGTTCGATCCCCGACCGCGTCATACCAAAAGACGTTCAACTATGGTACTTGTTGGTCCCTGTCTGGCGCTCGGCATTAATGTCTGGTCGGCTCGGAGTCAGTATAATGTGTCTGAGTGGGGTAATCATGCTTCACTGCGGCATGGTATCTCAGTGGGCTAGCACTATAAAATCAGCTTCAGTCTGGGCTAGTACAAGCAGCCGCACATACACATACACACGCATTCACCTCACCTCACCTCACGTTACTGATACTGGGCACTGACTTGTTAATGGACTTATTTTTTGATCGGTTTTCATTATTATTAATGTCTGTGTCGTCTTTAGATATTATTATTTGTTTTGGACTGATTGTGTAATGCACAATCCTTGGTCTGTAATCCCCCAATCCAAAGTAATACATGCTGAAGTTAAATGTTTAACGGTTAATCATTTGCATGCATTACTTTGGAATATTGTTACAAATTAAGCTGGGAAGTCATGATATAGCTAAACACAATGTGGACAAAAGTCCTCATTCACCCTCTCACCAATCCATCCACCCACATACCAACACATCCACCCACCCATCCAACAATTAACCCACTCACTCTCTGTTATAAGGTCGTAAAACAAAGATCGTCACGGTCCAGGCACTTTCCCCTCGCTCTGCTGTGCGAAAAAATTCCGAATGTTCTCGAAATCTAAAATGTCCCTCTTCAGTCCAAGGACGGATTGGCGTTGATTTAGAGGCGTTCGTCTGATCCTATTAGTCCAAGAGACATATTTCAGGAGCAGGCCCTCGGTGCACTCTGCTATCTTTGGTAATAGCGGTTATACCATTGCCAAGGATTCTGGTATTACTGCATTCGCACTTGATGACACCATGATCTCAAGAGTACAATCACTTGAGTGGTCATATAGCATAGTATAAACATTAGAGGATCTCACACAAGACGAAAGCTACCAATCAAAGCTATCGACGACAATGGTCTGAGTGTATCGACAATTTCTAAGTACTACTTGAAATAAAAGGATATTTTTCACAATGGACTGTTTCAAGGTTTAAAGGATACGAGAAACATTAACCATCAAAAAGAAAATACTACTTTCGGATTTACCGCCATCGTTGTTACGGGGCTGGTGGGGTAGCCTAGTGGTTAAAGCGTTCGCTCGTCACTCCGAAGGCCCGGGTTCGATTCCCCACATGGGTACATTGCGTGAAGCCCATTTCTGGTGTCCCCCGCCGTGACATTGCTGGAATATTTCTTTTGGGCTTCCTATCGAAAGTATTGGCAGCAAATTTCAAAAACAATTTGTAAGTGGTCCTTTTCACATAGCTTTTTTCGGAATATTCACCACTACCTTCTACACGCAAGCTGCGATTGCCGACTTTTAGAACAACAGGGTTCGCCACTCATTTGTTCCAGTTAGTAGTCGATGCTAAAAGCGGCGTAAAACTAAACTCACTCACTCACTCAGTAGTTCGGCAGTCGATGATTCAATAACAAATTAATGAATGACTTCCAAATGTACAAAATAGAATTTCTAGACAATACTAATGTTTGTGTACTAAATTGATGTATTTATGTCCTGATTATTGTTTACCAATAGTCTTATGATTATCATTAGTAATGTTATATATAGCTGATATATATAGCTTATGAATGTAAAACTGGAGAACTGTATATGATGCGAACCAAATGTCCCTTGGGATAATAAAGAAACTATCTTATCTTAAGCGGCGTAAAATCACACTCACTCATTGTTACGATGTTCTAGTTACGATCAAGTCCCAGTCCCTGGAGTGAGTGAGTGAGTTTAGTTTAACACTGCTCTCAGCAGTATTCGAGCTATATGGCGGCGGTCTGTAAATAATCGGATCTGGACCAGTCAATCCAGGGAATCAACAGCATGAACATCGATCTACGCAACTGGCAGTACCTGGAGAAATCCGCACGATTCTGAACCATTGCCATTGAGAACATGGGATAATAAGTAAACTATTGACTCGGGTACCCCGCCCCTCACACCTCAGCCTACATAAGTCTGTGCCGAACACTGGTATGTCGATTGTTTGGTTATCTCGAAGTAAAGCTTGTTTTCTTTGTGATCGTTTTTGGTTGTGTCGAACATCGGATAACTCGAAATATGTCCTTACAATCCTTCAACTTCGACACAATGGTGTATTAATTTAATGTTTTACCTCCCCCCCCCAAACACACACACACACACACACACACACACACACACACACACACACACTAAACTAACTAAAGCTTAAAGGTTTAATAGCGTTCGCTCCTCACGCCGGAGACCCGGGTTCGATTTCCCACACGGGTGCAATGTCTGAAACCCATTTCTGGTGTCCCCCAACGAGATATTTATTGCTGGAATGTTGCTAAAAGCGGCGTAGAAGCAAACTCACTCACTCAAAGGTTCAATGCTGATTGCTACTCCGCCCATACTATTGCCCACACTATTGTTCCCCAACCATACCCCGGCATTTGAAAAATCACATCACTCATGATTAGCAAAGGTGAAAGTGAAGCAAATGCAATCAATGCTTTAATATCCGATGTCAGGCGAAGAAATGATTGACTGAAAGGCTTCAGCGCATGATCACATAATCAATTCTCGTTTTGCAGCAGAGTAATATCCCAGTTTGTCCCAGTTAACAGTTGTGAAATGCCGATGTTTAGTTGAACATGTGCAAGTCTACTCACAGCAAATAATACGTTATTACGTGTACGTTGACGTACTGGGTATAATTGCAATACCACTGATAAGATATAGCTCTAGTATTCTAACCTGGCGGTGTATAGGTATACAAGGACGTTCCATATAAAGGTGGGCTATGGTCAATTGTAGATGGTGTGAATGGTATCGTGTCAGATGAGACATTAGCTATCTTGATGACATTGTAATGTTATCAGTTCAGCCAGGTTCAACAAAATAGTTCAAAGGGTCTCGTATATATGCAATGAAATATGCATTACCATTTATTCCAAGCTGAGGTTTTCTTTAATAGTTCAGTCAATAATGAACATTTAACTTCTGTTTTTATGACAATGGCTGCTTCCATGCTATAATGTATACACCATGTGCATTTCAGGTTCTGACAATGGGGGCGCTGAGGTAGCCTAGTAGTCTTCGGCATGGTTCGATTCCCCACATGGGTACAATGTGTGAAGCCCATTTCTGGTGTCCCCCGCCGTGATATTGCTGGAATATTGCTAACTGAGGTGTAAAACTAAACTCACTCACTCACTCTGACAATGGAATAGCAATGCACCAATAATTCAAAAAGTCCAGAATATATTCAATGAAATATGCATTTTTTCCGAGCTGAGGCTTCTTGTTATAATTCACTTCATAATGAAACATATATTTCTGTTATTATGACAATGTGCATTTCAGGTTCTGACTATGGAATAGCAATATACCATAAAAGCTCCATAGTTAATTGGTAGCACTGATGGGACAACCCGAATGGCCCGCTACCCTATTAATACTTTACAAGAAACGGCGTTAAACAACAATACGGTCCTAACCCTTTTCAAGGAACAATTCATTTCTTAGTTTTCTACATACGTTTTATCACGAAGAGGGAACAATGCTTGCTACGCATGATCAATGACCAGCTTCCTCGCCGCCCTGGTTATCTGCAGACCACACACTGCGACGCTGTGTTGATGTGTTCATGGCAACCTCCGGTAACACCGAGCTGGATATGCTGTTGTCGACGTTACTCGCCCCGTCATTGACGCTAAGAAAGTACCGCATTAACACTATATATTTCATGTATTATCAATAATCCATATTTTACTTATTGACCTTTGGCGAAACGTATAAAACGTATGATAAAGAAAGGGTGTGCGGGGGTGGAGTCGGGTAGTTCGGGGAAGGGTGTGTAAGAGAGGTGTAGGGAGAGGGGAGATTAGTGTCAGGGTAGATGATATCCAGGTTTTGTCTGACATGTTGTCTGAGGGTTATAAAACTAATTGCATGATTTTTCACAAGGCCGCCCAATTCTCGTTGTCTTTACAACCAATTGCAGATAACAGGACAGTTCAAAATGCTGAATCATTATGTTGACTGCGTTAAATATTCCTTGCGCTGAAAGCACTATAACGTTTATAAACACCGATGGATCGATAAAGTAAATCAGTTTCTTTATAAATTGCAGCCTCCGGATTAAAACGAAAAACACAGAAATCCTTTTCAGATACAAATTACTTCATTAAATGTGTTTCCTAGTCAAATATTTACTTTTCCATTATCCGTTATAAATCTAAACACAAAAATGAGCTTGTGAAAGTTCATCCCCATTCGTTACCTAAAGCATACAGTAGCCACACAGAGACCAGGTAACGTGCCTGACACTGACTGAGACAGTTCCAATACATCGATCAAATACCTGCTTACCGGCACATAAAGAGTTAACGCTGTTGATGCTGTTGACGACTTCGAAGGAGGTATCGGCATTCGCAATGGGGATGACGGCGAGAGTGCTTTGCCTGGAATAGGTGAGCGTCTTCTACAGTTGTTTTCAAAGGTACGGTTGTGTTTCAATTTTCCAATTGACATCTGTATTTAAATTTTGAACTAAAGGAATGTACCGAATACACAATTGAGAAATATATTACGAAATATTATATTAAGCGCATTTCCAAAAGGTTATCGGATGTACAATTAAGCAACACCACTTGTGGTCGTTGTGCTCCCAAGTATTTATAAACTTCCGGATTAATGCATTTCCGTTTCGTAGTTATGTCTTTTGAACAATATGTCAAATGCTAGACGTCCTCATTGATACCGTATATATGGGTTTCGGTCATAGGACATTTAGACATTAATAGACATGGAGTAGACACTACCTGGACACCCCGTGTCTGCTGATGCTTTTTAATATAAGTCGTAATTTCTGGTTAGCTAACACGTGTTACTGAAGCGTTATGTGTATCGACGATCTGAAATCATTCAATAACTGTACAATGCCACTTCCTTCCAAGGGGCGACCGCCTCCGTGGTGTAGTGGTCAGAGCGTCCGCCCCGGAGAGCGGAAGGTCGCGGGTTCGATCCCCGACCGCGTCATACCAAAAGACGTTAAAATATGGTACTTGTTGGTCCCTGCCTGGTGCTCGGCATTAATGGGTACAACAAGGACTGGTCGGCTCGGAGTCAGTATAATGTGTCTGAGTGGAGTGGGTATTCATGCTTCACTGCGGCATGGTATCTCAGTGGGCTAGCACTATAAAAACCAGCTTAAGTCTGGGCTAGTACAAGCAGCCGCACATACACATACACACGCATGCACGTCGTCATATGAGCGAAATATTCTCAAGCAGGACGTTAACCCCACTCACCTCACCTCACCTCCTTCCAAGGGCGCCGAAGACCCGGGTTCCAATCCCCACATGGGTACAATGTGTGAAGCCCATTTCTGGTGTCCCCCGCCGTGATGTTGGTGGAATATTGCTAAAAGCGGCGTAAAACCAAACTCAGTCAGTCCTTCCAAGGGGCGGTGGGGTAGCCTAGTGGTTAAAGCGTTCGCTCGTCACGCCGAAGATCCGGGTTCGATTATCCACATTGATACAATGTGTGAAACCCATTTTTGGTGTCCCCCGCCGTGATATTGCCGGAGCATTGCTAAAATCGGCGTAAAACGAAACTCACTCACTTCCTTCCAACTTGAGCTACACGCGAGTGACCAGTTGAATATCATCATCTGTTTCATCTTAAGGTCTATAGACAGATTAAGGCTGACAATACTCTTCCCACAATACTGTTAGATGACTTCAACTATCCAACTGTCAACTTTTACTTTCTGTTGAGCAATATTCCATCAGCCCGTGCCTTTGGTTGTGTACATTTGAACATTTGACAAGTTTTGGTACAGTCGAGCAGACAATTTCTGTCACGATTTCAAAGAGCTTCATATGACTCCTTCCCTGGAGACTGAATCGGGTGGTCAGACTCGCTCACTTGGTTGACACATGTCATCGTATCCCATTTGTGTAGAACTATGCATATGCTATTGATCACTGGATTGTATGGTTCAGACTCGAGTATTTACAGAACGCCGTCATATAGCTGGAATATTGCTGAGTGCGGCCAACAACCTTTTCAGAAGTTGTTCGACCAAGGTACTTTTCTGGTACGATCGACTTTTGTAGGTGTTTCTTTTATTCGCCTCGCAGGCTACCTTCTCACAAAGATAACTTAAACGGTTGACGTTAAACGTTAATTCTTGAAGCTGTCAGTGCTTCGTAGTTTTACCGTTAAGACAGACATTTAACCAGGTGGTAACGTAAAACTACGACCAAACGAAAATGTTAAATAACTGATTTGACACTATGGGTTTACTGTGTCATTTCTATCCACGATACCACGTGGTTTTCACTATCATAATGAATCATAACAAACACCACTAAACGTACTATTTACCGATTATTTCTGATGTTTAACAAAGACTCAAGAACAGATGAACACTGCGTGTTTACACGTGACCTCAATGATCATGACGCTTTCGTTTCAAGGGCAGTTAGTTTCGACAGAGAGTGGGAGTGGTTGCTCTTTGAAATACGCACTTAGTCCCTGAATAAACATTATATTACGAATGATACAAGAAACGTTTCAGTTTATTTTGCGGCTTCACATGAAGGTACTTAAGATAAACAAGGTCGGTTTACAATCTTGGAAGATTGATAACAATATAACTTCCCCAACTGACGGTTTGCCCTCAGGGAGCATTTCCTAAAACCTGTCGCAGTTGTAGGACAATAGGTACTGTATGCAGGTTCACCTCATTATGTTTTCGGGACATTGGGTTTAACCAAAGTGGTAAACGTCTCGAGGCCTACATTACTGCAGACTTTATTCCTACATTAAGCTACCCGTGAACATCAGGGTTAGAATTGGTCTTCAGTAACCCATGCTTGTCGTAAGAGCGGACTGACAGGATCGGGTGCTCAGACTCGCTGACTTGGTTGACGGATGGCATCGTATCCCAGATGGGCAGATCGATGCTCATGCTGTTGATCACTGGATTGTCTGGTCCAGACTAGATTATTTACAGACTGTCGCCATATAGCTGGAATATTGCTGAGTGCTGCATAAAGTAACAAACCAACCATCCTACATTAAGACGTTACACTATGATATTTCGGGCATACTATAGCATTATAATTCAGTGTTAAAATCACTCACTCACCACTCACATTGTAAGGAGGCGGCCAGTACTTTCCCATTTTCTTACATGCCCAAGATCTGGCTCGGGAACCCGTCTCGTAGAAATATACAACATTTAATACAACGTGTATCATTTGGTTCTCGTTCTCTATAAATGGGATATCGTTTCATAAATCGCCAGGCAAACGAAAAAACGGGTCCAGGTTTGATGGTGTCCAAAATGAAACAAACAAGAGATCGTTATTGGATATGGATGTATTTCATAGATGTAATGTAGTTCTGTTGTTCAAGTTTGGCGACAGCATCCTTACAACGTTTCAATAAGAATGATTACCGTCAAATTCAATTTTCAAGAGGCGGAAATTATGGGTATTTGGCATCTCCACACGAATATCGTATTCTAAGAACTGAACGGAAGGTGTCCCTTTCTCATACTCAGTTGTGTCGAAACATGAATTCAATTTTCTTAATTGAATCAATGCAAGCAAGGTTTAGCCTGTGAGCTACACAGTGGGTCTGGATGCAGAAAGGAGAATACTTGGCTTGCATTTGTTTTCCTACACCTGTGTGCTTACCCATCATAGCAGCAGTGCCTTCAGTTGAGAGAGAAACACATTTTGTTAAGTCAATGCCTAACTTTTCAAATTCTGCTGCTACACAGTTAACAATGGTGTGAGCACAACCATCATCAATAGGATGATTGCATAAGAAACTAGTCACAGGTTCTCCAGCTTTCACATATCTGACACATATGCTTAACCTTTTCTCAACAGTCACATCAGTGCTTTCATCAAGCATTATTGAAAATACTTCAGATAAATTAATCTCATTGACAAGTGTCTTTGTCAGGACATGGCAAGTAGATTTTTGAATCTCTGTTACAGTTGACCAACTCAAGTTCTTGTACTTGACATCCAAACCATTCATTTTCTGTAATGACAACAGACCATTCACATGTTCAGATGGGCATTCTGATTTGGCAGCAAAATAAACAGTATTAAACAATATGGTGTCATCATTAGAACAAACGTAACCAACATCATCGCCTAATTCCTCTTGTATTATATCTGCCCCCTTGTCTCTCTCCATTTTATCAGAAGCGCGTTTGTGATCTTCACTGTTGTTATGCCTGATCAGGCTCGACATCTGAATACTTGGTGTACCATCACTAGCCCACACACTTGTAAGGGACAAACTTATCTTTGCCGACTGACAATAAGTGCAGCATAGTCTCATTTCATCAGATTGTTTATTGAAAGATAACCATGGAAACTTCATTTTCCATGCATCTTGAGTTTTGTTTGAAAGTTTATTCCCGTCATGTTTCTTTGCCGGTGCGTGTGTGACAGTGGTGAGCAAATCTGCCAATATTCATCGACAGCAACCTCCGATTCAAAACAATTTCCAATAAGTTCAGCAATAATTTCTTTTGCGATGGCAGAAGTTTCAAATGATCGATTTCGAACTGTGACAAATGCCGAAATCTTAATTTGAGATGATGTTTTAGACGACGAATGAACACGCGACTTCCGTGAGGCCATCGTTGATAAACAATGAATGTCCAGACTTTCTAACAATACGAGCGATTTCATTGGGTGGTATTTTAGCAGAACTAATCAAGACGAGTGTTACATACATAACTAACTGCGTTTGCGCAATTGTTTCTTTCTGTAGTTAATAATACGAAGAGATACATAGTGAAATTCAATCGATAATCTACCCTATCTCATTGTAACATTTGACAGTTAGATACTTTCTGTTACGCACTTGTTTTTTGCCGGTAAGTCAGCGTACGCAGGTTAGCAAGTAACCAAAGCGTTTCTGTAATTTCCTTTGCGTATTTGGGACGCTACAGATATATTTCTGTGCGTATTTTGGAAACTTAAATGCGTATTTTACGCAGATACGCAGCTTATCTAGACTTCTGACAAGACTTGTACAAATACGCTGCAAGATAACAGGGCATTTCCCACCTACGAACACGGGTGTAACATTGCTGGATGTGTTTAACGTTGAAAACAAGTTGCAGTTGGTGGTTGGTTTTGAGATTAATATCGAACTCAGCATCGTGACAGATATATGATGACGTTCCGAAAATTCTGTACCCGTTAATCAAGTGAATTACATCAAGAACATCGATCGCTAACATGCATGAACCAAGTCAGAGAGCCTGACTACAGGTCTCGGTAGTCGTCACTTTCACATTTGTATTGCTGAAGTCGAATTCTAACTCAGATCTTCTTGGGAAAGAAAACATGTGGACATTTTTCATTGAGTGAAGTGTTTACAATGATTATACGTTCTGGTTGATACTGATGATCTTTGTCGTCATGGGTGACCTTAGATTAAACCGTTCGCCCGTCACTAGGTTCATTTCTCCATCTGTGCGCAATGTATAAGGTTCTCCCTGTGGTTCTTGTCGTAAGGGTGTTGCCGGGATACTGCTGATGTGGCTCTCGGTGTTCTCTCGACATGAACAGTCAAAGCAAGAATCTTTACATGTCTTGTTTATTGCCAAGACTCAGTGGCCGTTGAGGATCCTTGTTGTGAGAGCTGCCGTTCGTCATTAGACCTTGGTTCGAAAGCGAATGCCGTATCATTGCTCAAAGCGAATGCCGTATCATTGATCAAAGCGAATACCGTAACATTGCGCAAATACCGTAACATTGCTCAAAGCGAATGCCGTATCACTGCTCAAAGCGAATGCCGTATCATTGCTCAAAGCGAATGCCGTATCATTGATCAAAGCGAATACCGTAACATTTCTCAAAGCAAATACCGTAACATTGCTCAAAGCGAATGCCGTATCATTGCTCAGAGCAAATACCGTAACATTGCTCAAAGCGAATGCCGTATCATTGCTCAAAGAAGATGCCATCACATTGTTCAAAGCGAATGCCGTATCATTGCTCAAAGCGAATACCGTAACATTGCTCAAAGCAAATATCGTAACATTGCTCAAAGCAGTGTAAAACCTTAAACTTGCTCACATCACCGACGACGCCCTTTGGGCAACTGAGCTCTTCTGTTATTGTTATTGAGTTTCACACAACGTGTACATACTTGGCATGTGCTACATGCTCGGAATCACCATGCTGAGCAACTGTCCATGGACCAGTTGCAATGCATTGATGACGATTCACAATATGACTACCAAACATGGACATTGAGTTACATTATCGACCGTGGCAGTATTACAAACAAAGACGAAAAACATTATTGTAAGTCATTATCCAACAACCTTCCAACGAATTAAATGATTCATGAGCTTGGCGACGCCTCTTTGGTTACCATGTATAATTATACAAAGAACCTTACTGTGTGAGTATCCGTAAATTGCAACTATTTATCATTTAGCCACTGGTATAGATGACTCTCTATTGAAGTAGCGTTCCATAGGGGATGTACATAGTGGTATGTGTAGCGACGTTGTATCAATGAATGCTTTGTGCGACACACTCTGAACCAGTACACGGTTATTGGACTTACAGATCAGGGCCGTTGTTTGGATGCTGCTGCTTTTCTTACATAAATTGTTTAACACCGTTGGTGACTGCCAGACAAGTATACTTATACATTGTCTTGGCATTGTTCTGTATGGCGTTCGGTGGCTGGAATCAATTTTTCTGTTAGACTTTTTACGTGGTAGCTAATACATCTCTGAGCCAATGAATTTACTAATGGATGTATCCATGAATTATTCATGAATAAATGGAAGAATAATGGGTACATGAATGAATGAATGAATGAATGTGTGAGTGAGTGAGTGAGTGAGTTGAGTTTTAAGCCGCACTCAGCAATATTCCAGCTCTATGGCGGCGGTCTGTAAAACCGAGTCTGGACCAGTGATCAACAGCATGATCATCGATCTGCGCAACTGGGAACCGATGACAAATCAACCAAGTCAGCGAGCCTGACCTCCCGATCCCGTTAGTTGCCTCTTACAACAAGCATGGGTTACTAAAGTTCAATATTCTAACCCGGACCTCCACGGGTAGAATGAATGAAAGAATGAATGAATGAATGAATGAATGATAGGTGAATGACTGACTGAATGACTGACAGAATGATCAGTGTGTTTGTGATACGAGGTAGGCATATATACTGTGACATTAACATAAGCTACATTGAGGGGGCAATGATAGCGATGATTCCAGCCTTGTATATATTTGCTAATAATCAAGAAAGAACATTTCAGTAATCATCGTTACGGAGTAATATTTTTTTGTTTTTAAGAATGTGTTGCTAAAAGTTACGGACTGTCCAAAGAGCCGGGTTTCCTGATTAACCAGGTTTCCCTGTACATGTATATTTCTATTTACAGATTGCAGCTGAGGATGTGACAGAGCCAACATGGAGTTACTGGTGTGGCTATTCGGTATTCTAGTGTACTGCTCAGGTCAGTGGTGTGTGTATCAAACGTCACTAGGCCTGAACATCATTGAAAACGCACCACTTATAAAGGTTCAGATTATTAAAAGCACGTGTAAGGAATTGATATTTTTTGAGTGGATAATATCAGATGGACGACTGACAAAAACAACTACACAGAAAAGACGCTCATTCATTGAAATGTTCCACAGTCAGAAAGGATCAAACACACATGGGGTCAAATCGAAAAGTCAATATCCCGTGTGACCGCCATTTGCATTGACACATGCAGTTCAACATCTCCTCATTGAGTCAATAAGCGTCCGAATAGAGTTCTTGAGGATGACATTCCACTTCTGCAGTAGTGCAGCCTCAAGTTCCCGGATGTTTCGCATCTGTTGTCGCCGCGAAAGACTTTGACCAATTTCGTCCCACAAGTGATCCATGGGGGATACATCTGGCGACTGTGCTGGCCAATGAATAACCTGGATGTGTTGCTGGGCCGGATACTGCATGGAAAGTTGTTTGTGCCCGTGCGTTGTCCTGTTGAAAAGTATGGACATCTTGGTGGTGATTGAAGACAGATACGATGTGATTCTCAAGAATCTGCTCACGGTAATAAAGGGCATTAACTCTCCCTTGACAGACATGAAGGCAGTCCTGTGATTGTAACTTATTCCAACGAAGACCATGACACTCCCACCACCCAAAGGTCTGTCTGAACCACACACTCATCAGCATAACGTTCACCACGTCTACGCCAAACACGTAATCGGCCGTCAGCATTAGGTAGATGAAGACGTGACTCGTCAGTGACTACCACACCATGCCATTGTTGTAACCTTTTCTGAAAATGCCTGCTAGCCCATTGTATACGCTCATTACGGTGTCTGTCAGTCAGAATTGGTCCAACGTAAGGACGTCGAGCATGGAGCCCTGTAGCGTGTAGACGGCGTCGCATGGAGTCATCGCTGATGACCCCCACGTCAACCTTGAACTAGTGCAGCAGTCCTGGCAGTCGGCAGTTTTTAATCACTGATATGAACAAGGTCAATATGGCGATCTTGATGGAGCGTCGTAACACGTTGTTGCCAAGGTCATTGAAGGTCACGGGTGCTGCCTGTCTACTGATGTCGTCTATGAAGCCTAACGATGGTGGAGTGGCCAAGTCCAAGTTGACGAGCAATATCCCTGCTGCTGGTGCCAACCTGAATCATGCCTAGTGCACGTTCTCTTTCGCGAGGTGTTAACCTCGGCATCTCTGTCTTCGTTTCACAATCGTTAGTGAAGTAATGAGAATCGGTTCTCATACACCTGCTTTTAATGTCACAGTCAGTATGATTACAGAATGAAATTCGCGCTTTTCATGGCGTGGCTGCATGTTGATGCATTTTGGAATTAAGAGTCATACTGTGGACAGGAATTTGTTTCTAAAGCATTTTTTCAACTGGACATGCCCTTCGACTTCATGTTAGTTATTCATTAATCATTGTCATGCTGAAATCCATCTTGATGAAAATATGGACAATTTTAGACTGGTGCGTTTTCAATGATGTTCAGTATATAAACAAAATGCACATCTCAATTGAACAACCAGCCATCTCTTATAGCCAATATACATGTTTTGTGCTTTCTTTCAGATTTGTGAACTGTGTTCATCGCGATCCATTTACACTCATCATTATTTACTGATCGTTTGAGTAAATTATTACCCACGTCGTCAACGTAAGTGTAGTTGCATTGTAATCTCGTACGTAACACGAGTGTCGTATCGCGTTGAACTGTGTCGTAACGACTTGACTTGAGACTCCAACGATTTGATTGGATAACCGATGACCTTTCAATTAGGTCACGGTGTGACGGAACTGCTTTCTCATTCATAACAGAAACATTCATTCTACAACTTTTACTACGTCAATTAGGTTAGACGAAACATCTCACATGAACGTGAACCATAAAACAACACAAAACACATAAAAAGGTTACAACCACTGTCAGGTGGAGGAAAAGTGTGAGAATTCAACTTCACGTCCAATGACCGAGCCGTCTCAAATGCTAAACCGAGCCGACTCAAAGTCTAAACCGAGCCGACTCAAATGCTAACACGTCAAGTGACGGTTGACGGTATGTCGTGCGGGGTGACTTGACATGAGCTGATAGTTCGTTATTATTCTACACTGAGAAATATTTGCTTCTTTTGAAGCTTGTGTTTACTGTTATTAAACCTTTAAAGCGTTTCCGCATGTTTTGTCTTCATTATTAAGTAAAATAGATAAGAACTATATTCAATTGCGTATATTCAGGAATATCAAGAGAAGTGGAAAGGTTAGTCCGCAACTAATTCTTCCGCAACCTCTTGATGAAACCGGTTTCGGTTTGTGTTGAAATAACACAAATACGCTATTTTGTCAATTTTATGCCGGTAGGACCTGGGTAATAAAATAAAATAGCACACTCGACCTCAATACATATGACTTTTACGAAAGACCGAGACCGAGTGTAGTATTCTTCATATGCCGCATGGAAACAGAACTACATCGATTGAGTACAAGGATCTTGTTTGTCAGTGTAAGGCCATAAATATTCCTTCACATATGTTTAATTCAAAGAAACACATCAAGACATTGACATGTACTCTTAGACCCAATGTGTCCGTGATAATCTGGGCTATACATTTAAAATGCTGTTTCGAATTTTGTTTTCGAAATGGGTAACACATCCAAACAGAGATATGCACTACCAGAAAGAACAATTACTTAATGATAATTGGGCCTTCAGCACAAATAATCATAAAATAGTATAATGCTTGTATTGGAACAGGAAAGAGGAACATTTAAAAAAATAAATACTAATAATTAGGTTACAATACGTACGTCTTGTTCATGACTGATACCGCAGTACGGATTCAGGGTTACAATATGTCATTGTAAGGTGGATTTGGTGGTCTGACTAGGTGTATTGGTTGATTGAATGTCATCGTTTCTTGGACATTTAATCATTATATGATTCATTTATTTTGAGGTCAGGACTCTATTACTAACATGTCATCTTTACATACAGTACGTATTACCAAGCGATTTTGAGCACTGAAAGCAAAACATGTCATCTTTATATACAGTACGTATTACCAAGCGATTTTGAGCTCTGAAAGCAAAACATGTCATCTTTATATACAGTATGTATTACCAAGTGATTTTGAGCACTGACAGCAAAGCAGACATGGCAAGAAGCACGATGAGAACATTTAGTTAGAAGTGTCAAATGATTTTGACCTGCTCAGATGATGTGACGGCTACTACACCGACACCACAACGTTCCATATCTGCACATATTTATTGAGTGGAAAGGTAAACATGCTTATAGGTGAATATGGTAATATTACCGGTCTGATAGCAAATAGATGTAAAGAAGAGCTCTGTTCGCAACTCGAGATTTTCACATGATCTCTCTCTAAGATCGGATGTGGTGTTGTTGAAAGGCTTCTTGGATTGTAACCAATCCTCGTGACCGAAAATCCATGTTATGTGTTGCGTTCCTTATCGGTGCCAGGATCCGCTGAACCTGAACCCAGTCTCACCGGGATCATTGTTAGCACCATGCCCATCTGCATACGTTGCATATGTACACGGTTTGCTGCCATATAAGGTGAGGTGAGGTGAAATGGGGTTTAACGTCGTGCTTGAGAATAATTCGCTCATATGACGACGTGCATGCGTGTGTATGTGTATGTGCGGCTGCTTGTACTAGCCCAGACTGAAGCTGGTTATATAGTTCTAGCCCACTGAGATACCATGCCGCAGTAAAGCATGAATACCCCACTCAGACACATTATACTGACTCCGAGCCGACCAGTCCTTGTTGTACCCATTAATGCCGAGCGCCAGGCAGGGACCAACAAGTACCATATTTTAACGTCTTTTGGTATGACGCGGTCGGGGATCGAACCCGGGAACCTTCCGCTCTCCGGGCGGACGCTCTAACCACTACACCACGGAGGTGGCCTGCCATATAAAGTATCCACACATGTCCACAGTACCTCATGTGTTTTGATGACACAGAAATTTGATAAGTAATTTCTTCATATATGTTACTGTCATGTCTGTATGCCATAGACATCAAACCATCTTGTCAATTGATAGACACGATATAAGTCGGAGACTTTAATTTACTTAATTGCATGTCAAGCTTTCGGTTGATTTAAAACTGTCACAATAATTCACGGTACTGGTGCTGTGCTTGAAGAAAGATGTGGTGGTTCAAAGGAGGGTAAATATTTGCTTTATTGATAACTTATTTTGGAGATGTAGCCATAGTTACATAGCCCGTTGTCTCGTCGAAATATGGATTTCCGGACATGACTGTCTGTTCTGGCGGCACTGGGTATATATTCGCAAGGGTTCTACGTAAATTCACTTTATTAACGCACGCTTTATCAAAGGATCTTCGTTGTCGGTTGTGTTTATATTGCATCCATATCAATAAAAAGCAAAAGAAGGGAGAAACTGTCTGGTTTGTATGGAATTTATAAAAAAATCTTTAGCTATAACGCTTTCAATTTACAAAGCATTATGGAAGCACCGACTATTAATAGAGATTATACATTTATCATATCAATATACGGCTTGACCTGTGTAGCCAGAGAAAGCATGGTTCACTAGAACTGACAAGTTTAAAACATGGATCAGCGTTGGAAAAAATATACAGAAAGTTGACTCAACATTAACATGTTTGATCGTTTCTCTAGAGGTCCGGGTTCGAATCTCAACATTTCTGGTGTCGCTTGTGATACTGGTGGATTATTGTTAAAACCTCGCAGCAGCACATAGTCACACAGGCGAACCACGGTTCCAGGTGGGAACAGAAATTGGGATCTACTCTCATCATGATTTGCGCATCATGACATCATGGTCTTGTTTGGCGGTAGTGCAATGACTGAAGTGTATTTTGTTGGTGTTCTTCATAATTAATTTCGTTCCAGATCAGGCGTTTGAACATGGAAGGGTATAACATAGGGCGGGTACATCAACGTGCAGTAAACCAGGACAAAGTAACGTGACTATGTGTCCCAGTCAACCCAGCTGTGAATGTGTACCTCGTAAGGATGAGAAAGCCACATTAACTCGGTGCTCCTGGTGGCGGAAGAGTTGTATGATCCCCAGGGAGTTGAGATTGACCTCCAATGATCGAAGGAAAAACAAAGCTCCTTTGAGCTGAGTAGATATTGACGCTATACAATATTAGTATAATAACAGATGTGGGCAGATTGGCATGCCAAAATATATTGACAGGTTTCGTGACGTTAACAATTTGGCTTGATTATTGGTTTCCATTAGTCATGTAAATGTGTAGAATCTTCGAGTTCCAATGACGTTTAGTTATGCAAGAAACAGTATTATTATGTACGCATATTTTTCCGGCTACCTGATTGGTCTAGAGGTGGAGTTACTAAAAATAGATTTTGACGTCAAGCTATGACGTCATTCTATTGTTTACATGTCACCGTATTGTTGACATAACGTTATTGGTTTGTAGAGAAATAAAATTACTTTTCTTGACTAAATGGACATGGTTTGGTTTTTAGAAGCTTTTTTTTCGGTAAGTACATAATAAAACAATTATGGACTTCGTCCTCGGTCAATATTGCTTTTCGCGGGTCCATAAAAACAGGGGCGGTGGGATAGCCTTGTGGTCAAAGCGTTCGCTCGTCACGCCGAAGACCCGGGTTTGATTCCCCACATGGGTACAATGTGTGAAACCCATTTCTGGTGTCCCCCGCCGTGATATTGCTGGAATATTGCTAAAAGCGGTGTAAAACTAAACTCACTCACTCACTCCATCAAAAACAGGTATTGACCTCATCACCAGTCTATAATAGTATAGTGTTCCTTATACCACGCCAGTCTCCACTCAGCTAGACCTGGCAAACCAGTGGTTGACGTCATGATGACAGATATAAAATCAGCCTTACACCAAGCTCAGCTGATCCCAAGACACTAGGGACATACCTTGCATGACCCGTTGGCCTAAACCCAGACCGAAGATGGTCATGCATTGTCATGAAAACTATGACGTGTCATCGATTTGGTCGATAGGCAGAGGTCGTAGCGGCACTGGCTATGGAATAAGTGCTTATAAATACTGAAATTAATGAGTTTGCCAATTAACTAAGTAACTTGAAATGCCGCTTTCATCGCACAATCGATAGGTGACAGAGAACTGATTTTACGACCTTAATAACCATATTCTTATGTATGCAGGCCAGCAGAACCATTTGTATGGTAATCCTCTGAAGTATTATTAAGGTAAAGGTAGCTTTACATGAGAAATTATAATTCGTGTGACTCGGGCGTCTGTCAATATCCTTTGCTTACATACAGTTTCTTCCTATGTTTTAATCCTTTCAACTGACCTATATTTTCTTATGACTGAAGATAAAGGCGACCAAACCATATCTGCATAAATATGAGACCTCTAAATAAGAGACTATAAGAAGAGCATGTGCTTATGAATCACTATCATTTAGTGATGACACCAGGTGTTAGCTCCTTGCAAAATACTAAAAGCAAAATACATGAGTTTTAGCCAACGACGACCAACCCAAACAGAGTGATGTCATAACACAGTATGACGAGGTACCTACTTGCTTCGCCTTTTGTGCGATGTTATAAAACACTTCAGTTGTACTTTTCCATCTTATTTTCCATAATCACTTAAACAACAACGTCAATCAATAGGACAACATTAGATCTGAAATTAGATACTGGAAAACAACGTTAACATCAAGTCTGTGATGCAAAATAGTCGTTTCCAAAACTTCTGTATTGTTTTATCGAAATGATGAAATACAGTTGCAGACTTTAACAGTACTGTACACTCAAGCAAACATTCCGTCTGTCCGTTTATAAATGCCAGGTCTTTAATATCACAACAAGCCGTTGTTCTCGATACAAGCCTGGCAAACCCATGATGGAAGAGTAGGAACCATGCCTCTTACTGACGCTGTGTTTGGCAATGAAAATGAGGATATGATCTCCATATAGAAATCCAATAATGAAGTCCTTATTTTTCCGGTATTTCCGGATTACCTTCTCCAGGCTCCAATATATCCAACCCGCCGATAAAGCTAGAACATTGCTCATCCAGTAACATAACGGTAAACGTCTATGCTGTATGGCTTAATAATAATAATAAGTCATCTTCTATAGCGCACAGTCTCCGAACACCAAGTGATTGCTCGCGGCGCTTAATCAGAATCTGATTCTTATTACCTCGAATAACCCAAGCTGCCTGTTAGGCGCTAGAAGGCTATAGTCACGTGACTTTATCCAACCTGGTACCCATTTTCTGCTGGGTGAACAGAGGCAATTTGAACAAACTCACTTGCCTAATGTGAGATCACATGCATCACATGTGCTTTGTTGTGGGGCGGGACTGAAGTCCTAGAAACTCTCAGGAGTCCAGCTGCCAAACACGGTCACCCATCCAAGGATTGTCCGAGCTCGACGTTGCTTAACTTCAACTGATTCGTGATCTAAGCTCTGTGCACAGGACCACGCGTTCATGTTCTGAGGCTGGTTGTAGCAATGCCTGTTGACTAAACTTCCAATACTTTTAGTTTAGTTTAGTTTCACGTCGCACTCAGCAATATTCCACCTATATGGCGGAATACTTTTATGAGAATGTATTTGAGTATAAGTGAGTATAAGACTAGCACAAAAAACATTGAGGTGTTCTTGAACGTCCTGGTCGGTTTTTGAATCATATCAGTTACAAGTAACGTGAAAAGACAATTGACTCTTTATACAGTATATTTGTAGTTGGTTGTTTGACACCAAACATCCAACAACGTTCCAGCCATATAGGACCCCACAATCCATTGACATCAACAACATCGATCTATGCAGTTGGGATACAGAAACATGCATCAGCCATTGCTACAAAGCTGACCACCCAATCCCGATAGTCGCCTGTTACGACAAGCATGAGTTGATTTAAACATAT